TGCTAGTTTAGTTTTCTTTAAGTTCCTCTAGTTTATATATATTGTTTTGTAGTCTATGAAAGATATTGTATATATTATTTTGAATTGTAGAGACAAAATAGAAATAACTAATGTGAATTTTATGTTTCATTATTTATATTTCAATAATATAATTAATTAGCTATGAAAATTGAATTATAGTTTTCTTTCAGCGCTGCTAGTTTAGTTTTCTTTAAGTTCCTCTAGTTTATATATATTGTTTTGTAGTCTATGAAAGATATTGTATATATTATTTTGAATTGTAGAGACAAAATAGAAATAACTAATGTGAATTTTATGTTTCATTATTTATATTTCAATAATATAATTAATTAGCTATGAAAATTGAATTAAATGAGAGAATATTAATTGTTATGAAAAGATAAAAAGAATAAAAAAAAATCTTCCACTTTAAATCCCAGGGCTACACCTATATGGTGACTTCCTTGTTTTCGATCTCCAAGGATTTTAGTTTGTAGAGAGAAAAGAGAGAACGAGAGTGATAGATCAAGAGATAGAGAGGGAGAGTATGATGAAGATTAGTTCGGAGGGGGGGTTATGTGCTTGCTTGAGGAATTGAAAGAGGGAGAAGATGCACACAAGTTTTGAGCGATAGGGGCTTGGCTGGGAATTTTTTTAAAATATAAAAGCCATTTTATTTTTTATCTTAGTAATAAGTTAACATGCTACACATGGAGTATTTAGGCAGGATGTTCAATTCTATATAATTTTTCATTATGACTATCTACTCTATCACCAAAAATAGCTAATGGGCATAGTCAATACATTTCTTTTAAGGCTTTAAAGTGCACTTCCTACTCTACATCCAGATATAATATATGGATATAAACTATTGTGGTAATTATTACATAAGTACAAATTATATATATTTTTTGAACATTTAGATCAAATAAGACAAACTCATACATACGTCACATACTCGAGATTTGAACTCAAGACATCTTAGTTGATAGCCAAAGCTCCCAACCAAAAAATCAAAATGAACTCAGTAGTAAAAATTATGTTGAGTTTTACCATTTTTATAGAACTACAAAGCTAGCAATCATGATGCATCCAAATGCACAACCTTAGGCCACCTCTATCTAAACAATATGACTATAATATAGTTTTTCCTATAACCACTTATTTATTCATAAATATCTTTCATTGAGTTTATTCTCAGTTCTTCAGAGTTCATGAATAAATTATGATATCTTAACATTTTTTCTAAGTAATACATAAAATCAAATAAAAATGAGAAAGATAACATGTAATTTTTCTTTTTGAGAGCTTTATTAGTTCATATAATAAATTAATAATGTGAATTTAGTTTTTTTTTATAGTATTTTCTTGTTTGCATGTGAAAGTTATCATCGTAAAATAAAAAATAAAATTACCTAGTTACCCCTTAGAAGCTCCAATTTTTTTTATATGCAGCCAGTACCAGAAAATAAGAAAGCTTAATAATTTCATCTGATTGTTTTTTTTCCAAGATTTAAAAATGGCACGTATTGCTAGAATCTTTACTTCGGTCCATGACCAATTTCTGAGAACTTACCAGAGTGATAAATTTGTTTGTCCACATCTCATCGAAGAATTCGCTTGCTTTCCTATCCCCTGCTTTCCGACCTGTTTCACTGTTAAAAATTAAAAATATTACGAAGAACATATAGAAGTTAAAATTTTCTTGATATTGCTGAGCAAAATGGGCTCCATTAATTAAAGTTGAAGAAGAAAGAGAGTTTTTTTTTTTTTGTGAAAAAGAGTAAAAGATCACGATTTTTTTTTTGAGCAAGTCCCATCACTGACCCAATAAAAGGCCACTGACCTCACTTTATACATTCCGAATCGAAATCCAAATTAAAGATTCGAACTTTTCCGAGTTTACTCCACTAGAACCAATAATGCCCTCGATCTCTGAGCTCCCCATCGTTGCCGAGCTTGAGAACGACTCCACCGCCGGAAACCATAAGCTGAGGCGTCGGAGGCGTAAAAGGAAGAAGAAGAAGGTGACGGCAGAGCAAATTCTTGCGTCAAGGTACGTGCATGAGTGGGCATTCGGTCACTCCGAACCCTCCGATGACAGCGCCGGACGTGTCCTCTTTGAGCTCCACTCGCATTCGAAGTTTAGCGATGGGTTCTTATCGCCGACAGCGCTCGTGGAGAGAGCTCATAGGAATGGGGTGAGTTTTTGATCTTCTCCTAATGATCTTCGTAACCTGATTTTTTTTTTCCTGTTCTTGGTGATTTTTGTCTGGTTCTGCATGGTTTAACTGTTGGATTCCATGGTTGGCTCTTATCTATTTGATGTTTTGCCGCAGTGGCTGCCTAGAAAATGCGAAGAATTGGCCTTCTATGTTATAAAAAAATGACTTTTTTTTTCTTCTGTGAATAAGGATGTTTTTCGGCTTCATTTTGCTGTATGTTCCTATTTCGTTGGATTTTGTTGTTTGTTTTTTATTTGCTTTTGAAGCATTCCTAGTAGTTTTCGATTGTCTTTTGATCGGTGAAGTATGGAAAGGATCTTCTTTGCTGAAATTTAAAGTTGATTGTCAGCCATGGCCTTCTTCCTTGTCACTTCTATGAATGATGTCGTAATGATTATACCTTTTCCCCATTATAAAGCTCTGCATTTGCTTTTCTGTGGAAAGGAGTTGCTTGTTCGTTTCAGCTTCATTTTGCTGTAATTTTTCCCATTTAGTTGGGTTTCTGTCGTTTGTTTTGCTTTTTTTGAGGCCTTTCAACCTGGTTTTGCTATGAACTTGCAAAAATAGACTGTCTTCCTTTGTCTTTTGCCTGGACTGTATAAAAGTGACCTTCTTTACTGAAGTTTGTTCTCCTTTCAACTCGTGCTGTTCGGTATCCTATTTTAGGAGCATTTAAGCAAGAATTAGCTTAAATCCTGCCGAATAGAAGTTTGTTGGCTCTAAATCTTATTTTTTTACTAATTAAATTTATGTTTTGCCGCAGAATTCAAAGCATTTTTTTCTCCTTTTGCAAATCCTAAGCGCTGCATCAAATAGTCAAATAAATTATCAGAGTTTAGCCAGATTTAATCGTTGTCATGTCAAATAAATTTTTAGATTTTAATCATCGTAAGATTGACAAAATCTGAAGTTGCAGGTTTTACTAAATTCTATTTGAGTTTTATTCTATCTTTGGCCAAACAACAATGACTTTATAGTTACCTTTCTCTTTTGTGGCATTTTTATGTGAAGTTTGTAGATGAATGCTATATCGATTGAGCCGTGTTCCTGCAAGAAGTGAGCGATAGGCTTAAATCTCTATTGCTAGACTTTTTATTGCTATAATGGAAATTTCATAAAATATAATGAACATGTAAGAAGCAGCTGAAACGTTTGCTCCCCCATTTATGAGGAGAAAACTTGTTTTCTTCATTTTCATTGTTTCACAAAGTCTGAAACATTATTTTGCTCTAGTGGCGGAGAAAAATTCTTTTGAATTGTAATCATTCTGGCTTGGTGGAAGCTTTCCAGTTATCATCGTAATGTCTTTTCTGAAAATCTAAGATGAAACTTAGCCATTGTTCAAAATTTGCACAATACGTACTAAAAGTGCAATAAGTACTAAAAATATTTTGAGGTAAATGCCTTAACTGGATTAGGTGAGTCATATGCCTCACACTATCTACATGCTCCCGAAGACGATCTTAAGATTTATTTATTTTAAATAGTTATGCTAATTACCCTCACGGGCTCACCCCAAGATGCATTTACGCATTGGATCGAGAACTTGTTCACCTCGTATGTTTCTCACAACCAGCCTATATGGCGGGGAGAGAGGGCATTTGCATCATAGAAGTTGTCTCCAGAGATTGCTAGACAAGCACACAGACCTATCAGCATGAATATTCGGGGGTTTGTTTATGAGAATGCCATTCCATTCAATGTGGCAACTTTCCCTCCTTACTACACCATGATCCATTCCACAAGTGCTTATGGTATAGGCTTGAAACTCCTATGTATGTATGACTTATAAACTTAGTTGAGCAAGATTGAAAAAACCATTGAGGAAAATAAAATGACTTCAAATTAGATTAGAGTGAAATGGTTGGTCTGATATCAAGAATGAAAACCTGATTAATATTTTGATAAATAATTCTTATGGAATTATTTTTTTGAAATCAATAGAAGCATAATATTAAGTTAAGTGTTGCAGAGATGATAATGCTTAGGTGGATGAGTGGCTTTACTCTTTGAGATAAGATACAAAATGAGCCTATACGTGAAAAGGTTAGTGTAGCTCTAGTGAAAGATAAGATTAGAGAGAGTCACCTTAGATAGTTTGGTCACATATAATGACGGCCTTCCGATGACTTGGTTAGGAAAGTAGATGCATTAGATTTTACTTATGTTAAGAAATGTATTATGTTAAGAAATGTATAGGAAGACCTAAAAAGACTTGGTTAGAAAATATTAGAAATGACCTTTTTATTAGATTTAAATGAGAATTTGACTATTTATAGGACAATGAAAAAAAAAGGTTTCATGTAGCCGAACCCACATAGTGGGATAAAGGCTTGATGTTGCTGTTGTTGTTGTATAGAAGCATATGATCGGGTGCAGGGTACGTTTTTTGATTGCTTAATAGGGTGATACAAAAGATTGGAGAGTATTCAGTTGTACATGTTATGACAAATAATGCTAGTGTTTATAGGGTAGTTGAGGCCAAATTGATGGAGGAGAGAGAACCTACGTTGTACATCTTATGTCGCACGCTATGTAGATCTCATTCCAGAAAAATTAAGTGACTTACCACAACACAAGAATGCCGTAAGCAAAACTAGGAAGATAAGTAGTTCATATAAAATCATTATTTGGTTTTAATTTTGATGAGGAAGTTTTCTAAAAAATAATTCCTACCGCTGCAATTAGATTTGTTACACTTGGGAGCATGTTGGAAGCTATGTAACCATTGGAGGCTATATTTACTTCCACTCTATGGCTCAATTGTGCTTGGGCTAAGAAAGCTAAGGGAAAGAAGCTAGAAAAATTGTTCTGAATGAGAGATTTTGATTAGTATCATATGTAATAATGACAATAAGATTGTTGGTCCAAGTTTTGAGGACAATTGATGCAGAGAAAAAGGTAGCTGTGAGTTTTATTTATAATGCAATGGATGAAGCTGACAAGTTAAAATATCATAAGTTAGGAGAAGATGAGACAAGTTGTAAGAAAAATTGGGATATCATTGATGAGAAGTGAGAATTTCAGCTTAATTTGGAGGTTTTAGAACTTCTTCTTAATCCTCAATTCCAACATGCTAAAAGGATAAGTTAATAAATCTTGAGATTAAATTGGGACTGTATCATTAAATAGATAGGTTGATTGCTTACTCAACTGAAAGGAAAAATGCTAATATGCAACTTGTACTATTTAGGAATAAGAATTTTTTTTAGACTACAACAAGTTAAAGATATAATTAAAAAATTTTCATCTATTAATTTTTTTTAATGTAATGAATGAAATAAAAAATGTACCCTCCAAATTCTAGATTAATAAGTTCTAACTATACTTATTTCTTCTGACTTTTGTTGAGTAGTGAATCTAATTTAGTGATGGTACTCTTGAGCAGCAGTGTTTTGCTGTTAAGGTAATTAATGCTCATCATCTAGATGTGAGCATGTTAGACCGGTCCACTGGGCCGGTCTAGCGGTCCAGGCGGGACCGGCTTACGAGCGAATAGCGAAGTTTTACGCCTGCTGCGGATGCCGCGCGTTGCCGATGCCCACAGGGAGCTGATTTTGGAAGGATTTTGGAAGGAATTTTAGGAGGGAAATTGAATGTAGGGATTGTTTAGGGATTTCCTTTTGATTTGTATGCATTAAATAGTTGGTTTTGCTAGGGTTAGGGCATCTTGAATTTGGCTGAAATTTGAGATCTCTTAGATTTAGGTTTTCTTTGGGCTCTAGCATTGTCTAGAGATTTGGGAGAGATCAATCCTCCTCTCGAATAGAGGATCAATTGTATCTTGCTATTTTCCGTGTTCCTTTCATTAAAAAATACAAATTATCTACTGTTTTTGTGATGTTGTGCTGACTTTTGTGAAGAATTCTCGTTGTTTTCCGAATATTGATAGGAAATACTTGAGATCTACAAGTGTTTCCTATCAAATTGGTATTATAGCAAGTATTGGGACCAATGGAGGCTGTTTTCGGCAAATTCCAACAGTAGTTTTTTGTCCGGAAAAGGAGGAAGTTGCTGTTTTTTACTCCAAAATCCAGATTTTGTGAATCTACAAACTCCATATTGTAATGGCGGCCAAGAAAGTTGATGCTTTGGAGGAGAGACTCGAAGGAGAGATGAATCACATCAAAGAAACCATGGAGGAAAGAATTTCTTTCATAGAGGGGCAAGCAATCGATCTCAGGGATATGATGAAAAGAATGTTGGAGCTTCAAGCACAAACGGCGGCGTCCGAAGCGAAGGTCCCAGAAGCGAAGAACACCAATTCTGAAATCCGTAAGGAGGAAGAAGAGGTGGAAATCGTGGAAGGGGAAAGAAGAAGACCCTATGTGGAGCCTTTCCATAGGGAGGAAAGAGGAGATCGACATAGGGAAAGGCATTGGTATGAAGGGATGGAGCAAAGGAGTGTTGATTGGGAACGCCGGGAGGGACATTATGGTCGCCGAGGTGCTAATTTTGAAGGAAGAAGAGGGGAATTCGAAGAGGATTTGGGCTATGACAGGGCAAGGGAAATCCGAGAGACGTGGGGTGGGCCGAGCACTTGGGAGAGGGGAAGCTATGGAGGAATAAGGGGAAATGGTGGAGATCAGAAGTTGAGGAAGTTGAAGACGCCTATCTTCAATGGGGAGGATGCGTATGGGTGGATCTATAAGGTGGAGAGGTACTTTGCTGTTAATGGGCTAACGAAGGAAGAGAAGCTGACAGCAGTAGACCTATGTTTGGAGGGGAAGGCACTGCCATGGTACTAGTGGAGAGACCAGAGGAGACCTATCAGGGACTGGAGGGAATTCAAGGACTGTATAATAGAATGTTTCTAAACCGATCGGGGAGGAGATTTCTATGAGCAATTTTTTGCTCTGGCACAGGAGGGATCAATAGCAGACTACCGGGAGCAGTTTGAGCACCTTACCAGTAGAGGAGCGATTATCATATACAATATTGGAGGGGAACTTCATGAATGGGTTGAAGTCAGAGATCCGAGCAGCAGTGAAGGTTTTGATGCCTCGTGACTTGGGGGAGGCCATGAAGTTGGCTCAACTGGTGGGAAATTAGAAGAATTTAGAGAAGGGAGCCAAGAGCAACAACTTAGGAGGCTCTTATAGGAGGACGACCACTCTTCTAGCACCCAAGAGAATTGCATCAGACAACATTAATGAGACCACCAGGGAGAAGCCAGTAGGAGGGAGTGGGGAAAATTTTAAGAGGTTGTCAAAGAAGGAGATGCAGGATAGGAGGGCAAAGGGGTTGTGTTTCAGGTGCGAGGAGAAGTATACGCCAGTACATCGGTGTAATGACCGAACTTTTCAGGTTCTCACCGTCTGTGTTGACGAGGAAACTGAGGAGAGGTGAGGGGGAGTTAGAGGAAGGGATAGAGGAGAAGTTGCATTTGGATATGGCCGAGGTTTCTCTGAATTCAGTAGTAGGATTCACTTCGAATCATACGATGAAGGTGAAGGGAGAAATAGCAGGCATGGAGGTGGTTTTTTTTGATTGACAGTGTGGCTACCCATAATTTCATTTTCACTAAGGTCGTTAACCAACTGGGAGTGAAATTGGTGGACACCGGTTGTTATGGGGTGATGATGGGTACAAGGAAGGTGGAGAAAGGCCAGGGGATCTGTAGAGGAGTGGTGTTGACCATCCAGGGGATTCAGGTAAGGGAGGATTTTCTCCCACTAGAGTTAGGAAGTACTGATGTCATTCTGGGAATGAAATGGTTGCAAACCTTGGGGAAAACCAAGGACAATTGGGGAGCGCTCATGATGGAATTAATGGTGGATGGGAGAAATGTGGTCATAAGGGTAGATGCAGGACTATTCGAAGCCATCGTATCACTTAAGACCATGGTTATGAGCCTACAAGAGGTGGGGGAAGCTTATCGGGTGGGACTACACAAGCTAGTTGTGATCAGGATGAAGGAGGGAGGGGATGTTTCTCTTTCAGGGCAACCTCTACATCAGCAATTTGATAAGGATTTTCAGCCACCTCAAGGATGGCCACCTCCACCGGAATACGAGCATATCTCTATCTTGAGGACAAGGTGGATCTTTGGGAGTGGAGTATTGTTAGACCGGTCCACGCGGGACCAGCTTACGGGGGAACAACGAAGTTTTCTGCCTGCTGCGGATGCCTCGCGTAGCCGATGCTCATAGGAGCCGATTTTGGAAGGATTTTGGAAGGAATTTTAGGAGGGAAATTGAATGTAGGGATTGTTTAGGGATTTCCTTTTGATTTGTATGCATTAAATAGTTGGTTTTGCTAGGGTTAGGGCATCTTGAATTTGGCTGAAATTTGAGATATCTTAGATTTAGGTTTTCTTTGGGCTCTAGCGGCGTCTAGAGATTTGGGAGAGATCGATCCTCCTCTCGAATTGAGGATCAAGTGTATCTTTTCTATTATGTTTCATCTATTAGTAAAAATACAAGTCTTTTCTCCACGGTTTTCTCTCCGATTTGCTATTTTTTCACTGTTTTGTGGCTGATTTCTGCTGTGGACAGCCGTTTTACATTGGACCTACTTGGTTTTGGTGAGAAACACTTGGAAATCCAAGTGTTTCCTATCAAAATACTTGAGATCTACAAGTGTTTCCTATAAGAGCACAATTAGAGCACTTGTACCCTATTGAAGATGAGATAGGGGAGAAAAATATTCGCTATGATGATGACTTGAATGAAGTCTTCTTGAGTGATGAGAGTACGGAGTACTTTTGATTATTTGTCATATTATTAATTTGATCATTGGAAGTTCAGTGTTGGATAGTAGTAATGAAAAAGAGAAACTTATTGTGCTAAATTTAGTTAATTTCTTACTTATGATTTGATATATTATGTTAGTTTTATTTAATTTTGATATCTTATATTATTTTGACCTGTTGTTGTTTGCATTACACTCATAGTTTGTGTATTTTGTTCCTTCATATATACTTACTATATTAGAATGCTAATATATAATTTTATAATTGATTATGATGCCAATATATTATTTCTTACCTTCATTTTAACTTTGCGCAATTTTTTTTATTGTTAGAAGCCTCAAATCACTCAAAGGCTTACGCTATCTCATGGACGATAAACACCTAAATGCCGAATTGCGAGATTTTAAATCTTGATCTTAGCTTGTTAAATTTGTATGAGTTTGAAACAGAGTAATTGTTTCAAATAATAGCAAAAATGTTTGGAATAATTCTGGTTATAGTTTTTATTACTGTTGAAGGTTGATGCATACATTCAAAATTACAAATGACACTTTTATCATTTGAAAGTAGCCTAAAGTCTAATTACAGATAAGTGATGAGGTCAGTTATACGTAAGTGCGAGGGAAAAGTACTTATAGAAAAGCTTGACATAAAGCTAGTTACTTAAAGATTCAAACCTACGACCACAGTCCTGAAAACCAGGGAGTGTATTTTTGAGCTAGATATCGTTAGTTACAACATGATAGTTTCTAAACCTTATTTCCATATTAATAGGGCTACATACTTCTATGTTATTTGGTGATTTGCTAATAAGAGAATCCGAATGTATAACCATTTGTAATAAACAGGTGAAAGTACTTGCTTTGACAGACCATGACACCATGGCTGGCATACCAGGGGCTATAGAAGCTGCTCAGAAGTTCAACATGAGGATAATTCCTGGTGTTGAAATAAGTGCATTGTATTCTCCAGGGTAATTCTTCTTTAATCCTTGAAGCGTACGTGTTTTCAAGATCCCTTTCCATGAACATACTATACAGATACCTTTCTAATTCTTTGTTTGGTATTACTTTCTTAAGTAATGTGTTGTGCTGCCGAGTAAACTAATGATTGATCAAATCATGTAAATGTAGTTATGGTATGAGTTGATTGAATGACCTCTATAGATATTAATATGAATTACATACAATTACAATACATTATCTTAATTAGCATATAAGTAATGAATACTTATTTGTTTATTTATTAAATGGAAAAATCTAAATTCTAGCTTCGTTTGGGACAACTTTCTTGTTGTTTCTAGAATAACTTTTTAGTATAAAAATTTCTTGAATCAGAAAATTTTGTACTAAGAAGCCGTTTTCAAAAGTAATAAAGAAGCTGTCCCAAACAAAGCCTCATTAAAGTGTACTTTCATAGGAAATCACCTAAAATATCATTATTGCAACTAAAAATGCTTTTCAGCTTTCATATTGTTTAACATTGTCTTAGTGTTTGGAATTGATTTGTTATTCATGGAAATTGAAGCAAACAATAGAAAATTATGACAGGGGAGTCTCAAGATTTCGTGCTTTTTGAACACTATAGCTTTTCCCAACAGAAACCATTTTAAAGAACATATTTCTTGCTTTAACACTTAATTTAGTAGTGCAATTTGTTCATTTGTCATATTACCAATTGAAGGAATGAACCAGGAGGAGAGGAACCTCTCCATATTCTTGCTTACTATGGTAGCTGTGGACCTTCTTCTATGTGTGAGGAGCTTGATGACTTGTTGGCCAATATTCGAGATGGCCGTTACACTCGAGCACAAGAGATGCTAGTGAAGTTAGGCAAACTTAAAATGCCTCTTAAATGGGAAGATGTTGTGAACATAGCAGGAAAAGGGGTGGCACCGGGAAGGGTTCATGTTGCAAGGGCAATGGTCGAAGCTGGCTATGTTGAGAACTTGAAGCAAGCATTTAGCAAATATTTGTATGATGGTGGACCGGCTTATGCTAAGTAAGCAGACTATTTTAAGATAGAAACTGGTTACCTGATACTAAGAAGTTATGTTATGGGAATTTACACTTTAAAATGAAAATTCATCTCACTTGTGCAGGGGAACTGAACCATTGGCGAACTATGTTGTTCAATTGATTTGCCGTTCTGGAGGTATAGCAACTTTGGCTCATCCTTGGGCATTGAAAAGTCCAGTTTCTGTTATTGAAAGCTTGAAAGCTGCTGGCCTCCATGCTGTCGAGGTATACAGAAGCGATGGGAAGTTGGCTGGTATTCTCTCTCTCTCTCTCTCTCTCTCTCCTCTCTATTGCGTTTGCCTAATTCCAAACTCCAGCAATAGTTCAAGTCTTGCATTGCCTGTAAGATTCTTGCGTTGGCAATGCCCTTCATGGTCTTCAGTTTCAATTTAAATTGATCTAAAGCCCTACTGCATTTAAAACTTCGGAGAAGTCTTTGGCTTTATTTGAGACGACATTCTTATTGATTCTTAAAGCAACTTTTTAGTAAAAATTTAATTTTTTTTCTACTAGAAAGCTGCTGTAAGAAGCAGAAAGAAAGCCGTCCCAAATGAAACCTTTAAAGTTTTGCAAAAATTTCTATCACCTAGGTTTTGGTAAATTTCATGAGTTATAATTTCTAGTACAAAATTAATTTTTTTCTATTGGAAAGTTACTTTAAGAAGCAAAAAGATGCCGTCCCAAACGAAACCTTTAAAGTTTTGCAAAAAATTCTTTTACCTAGGCTCTGGTAAATTTCACGAGTTATAATTTAAGCCAAGTATATGATTCTTTTTGGTTTCATACATTAAATATGCGTTTAAACTATTTATAATTAAAAAAAAAACTGTAATCAAAATGAAACTAAATGTAGAAAACAACAAAATTATAAAAACTATCAAACCCAAACTTTTCATGAGACCGAAATCTAAAATCTGTTCTAGCATCCCATAATGAAGTGGCTATTTTGTTTACAGGTTTCAGTAATTTAGCTGATACATATGACCTTCTAAAGCTTGGAGGATCAGATTACCATGGAAGAAAAGCTGATGATGAATCTGACTTGGGGAGCGTCTATCTTCCAGTTCTTGATGTTTTCAAGTTTTTGAAGCTTGCAAGCCCCATCTGGTGTGGATCTACAAGAAACATCTTGAGAAGCTTTGTTGAAGAGCCTTCTGCTGCAAATATGAAGAAAAAATTCAGTTTTTATAAACCAGATAAGTCAGATTGCTGTGCTGCCAAATGCTGTGGAAAAGATTGCTTTGATCTGCGCTCATCTTCTTGGTTATCTGATGAGGAAAGGCAAAATGCTGAGCTTGAAAATATAAGGCTTAAACTATCTGATACTGTTATTAGTAAGGTTGGGCTCCATTTGCGATTAGATGGTAGATAGCTTATCCTTATTTTAAGTAAGCCTGTAATGTTTTTGGCATCAGTTGACTACAGCCATTTTAAGTGTTTGTACTCTGACCACAATCTACAAATATTTGAGCTAGCATAAAAAAAATATGAAGAAATAGAAATATGAAAAAAAAAGAGTAAATTCCTTGTTGACTTCATGTTTTAAACAAATATTTCTGGTACAATTCTAAGGCACATAGCTGCAACTTGAGAAATTATTACTTGTGGAGTCTCAACGTAGCTTTATATTCAGACTTCAATTAGATGAAGATATGTTGTTCTCATGTGACCAACCGATTCGACGCTCTTGTACACATATTGTGTATAAGTTATACACAGTGTGTTTATAATGATAATTTATACATATTTTAGGTCGGGCCGTTGGGTCAATGCCAGAAAAAAAATTCATGGAAGTTTGGACGTACTGATGTGTATGGACTCCGCACGTAATAATTTCTTAGAAAGCAATTTGAGAGCCAATGTTGAATCATCACCATCATAAATCTCACTTCAATAATTTGAGATTAATTTTAAGCTTTTTTATTTTCATTCATTTCTATTACATATTATATGTTCATTCTTTATATATCATTTAGAATAAATATTTAATGTTATCTTATATCTATTTTATGTTAGATATGAACTTTATCTATTCATATAATAGCTGATTTTTAAAGTAATAAATTCATTTGTATTAACTTAATTATTAAAATGTTATTCAAATATTGTGGATATGCTTTTATATTTATTACTGATTATAAATTGATTTTTTAATATTAATTGCGATATAAAATTGTTCTGAGATTAATTTTCAGAAGTAATGGACAAGACGATAAGAAGGTGATTTTGATTTCTTGCCAAAATCTGTGAAAGAAATGACCAAAAAGTTGTATTAAAATCTTCTTCCAAATAAAATTTTTATAAAAACAGGAAATTGTGCTGCTATATAGTAAAAACCTAACAAATTCCCCTAACAAAATAAGAAACAATAGGATATAGATTTGACAAAAAAAAAAAAAAAAAAAAAAAAAAAAAAAAAAAAAAGCCGATGACTCAGTTCAGTTTTGAAAATTCATGGAAAACCAAAAATTTTTAGGGTTTTGGATTCGGAGCTCTTCATCCTTTTTAGGTGTTTAGGGTTCAGTATGAAAGACAAGCTTGTTTTTGTGGATATTATGTAACGGTAAACATTTAGAGCTATCTGTATACATAGAAATTGTTCAATGTGTAGAAATTGTTCAATGTGTGAACTTGTATACCGTAGAACTTCAAGAAGAAAAAAGCATCATAATTTTTTTTAAGCTGTAGACAGAAGTGTCTTGCTCAATTATGTTCGAATATTAATTTGCTTGGAAAAGATCTATAAATTTAATGGAGTTTAAGAAAGCGAACAATAATTCCAAGATTGAACAATGTGCACAACTTGTGCACATATTGTGTATAACCTTGTACACGGTCTCTCCTTTAGTTTTTCACACGTTCTACACAACCTTGTACATGTATCATGTACATACTTGTACACACACTGTGTACATGCTTGTACACAATGTGCATACGAGTTTGTAAACATGCGGTGTAAAATTGTCAGGATTGGCTTGAAAAATGTCAAAATTTAGGGCGGAACTGGCGTATGCCTTATTTTATTTAAACATTAAGAAATAATCTTAATTTTATACACATTTATTTATTTTATTCATACTATATTTTGTACAGGTTTTGTTCAAGCATTGTATTAATTCCCTTTTACAAATTGTACAATAAACTACAATTTTTACAAGGCACTTTGTGGATTCTCTTGTACACACACTATGTACAAATTCGTAGAAATTGATAGAAAGATTATACACATGATGTGTACACCTTGTACACAATGTGTGCACAAGGCACTTTGTGGATTCCCTTATACACACACAATGTACAAGTTCGTAGAATTTGATAGAAAATTATACACATACTGTGTGCACCTTGTACACAGTGTGTATAAGGAACTTCGTGATTTTCTTTATACACACTATGTAAACGTTTGTAGAAATTGATATAAAGATTGTACACACACACTGTACACACATTAAACTAAGCATTGTATATGAACTTACTTTTCAGATTTTTTTTTTCCAATGGCCCTTCAACCTTGCATTAGAGATCCCTTTAGGCCTACACTTTGGGTGGAGTTTTAAATTTGTAACCCCATACTTTGTATTGCTTAAGAACTTATGGTTCTTTCTCTTGCCATCAAGAATCAAGTCGATATTTTTAGCCATGTCCTTTGTTGAAGATATCATGTATTGCTTCGCCTCTTCGTTCCATTATGCTCATACGATAATTTGATATGAGAAACTATTAATATGATTTTTTGAATATTATGTCACTATCTGCTTCACATGTCTTCCATGTACATGTGAACATGCAACCAACATATATATCTTTTTAAACTCTTGTTGACCATTGCAGAGTATAGGTACCTCTCATGGATATTCACAATATCTAGCTGCCTCAAAACTCTCATGCAATGAGAATATAATAAATCCATAGTCTCAAACTTCCCACACACTAGCGGAACCACCTCTTGCTTAGGGCCCCCCCTCAAAAAAATTTTTTTTTTTTTGTAAGAGTAAAAAAAAAAAAAAATTTATAGGAGTGTTAAAAATTTTTTTTGCCCTCCCTAAAAAACTCTTTTTGCCCCCCCTAAAAATCTCTTTTGTCCTAACTTGCTCTAAAATATCTATATATTTCTTCACATTTAATTTTAATATTCTCTTTCATGTTTTTCATGACAGTTTAATTACACATTTTTTTCATTATTTTTCTTGCTTAATTTTTTTTAAAGAACTTTTTGTAATATATAAATATAAAATATTATTTTTTTAATATTTAATTATTTTTATGTTGTATTTGCCCCCCCCTCAAAATTGAAGCTGGTTCCGCCCCTGTTCCCACATGTGCATTGAATTCTACCATCTTTTGTATTGAAATGAACAATCCAAGGGATCGACTGATACTTATTCTCCATACTCCTAATGAAAAACTTTGAAGAATCACTTGAGACATACTCTATACTCATTGCATTCACACCATGTAAAAATTCTTACTCAAAAAATAAATAAAGCTTTCTAGAGTAAAATCGAACAACTTGCTTTAATATTGGGTTATTTTTTTATAACATGCTCTATTGCGGACTGGCTACATTTATAATATTGATCACGCTCATTCTGACGCCATGCGATTATCATCTTTTCAAGGCCCAAAAAATAATATGTTATTAAACTTATTGGCTTCGAAATATCATGAAACACATTATTAGTAGACTCACTACGCTATGTGGATAGAATGTCAATGTTAAAATAATCATTATTGAATGATGTTGACCACTTATTTCATATTCTATAAATCTGCTCCAACCAACCATTTCTATGAAAGCCCCCTTATGCGATCATTTCAGTCTATATTTTCTCAAACTCGTTAGAATCACACTTGCTTAAACACTTACAAGAGAGTCCTTTGACTTTATCGTTGCTATTGAAGCACCAAACTCTAGATGGAGCCTTTTTAGAGATGTGTCATTGACATAGTCTATGATGTGTATGAGGTAATGCAACTTCTATGAACCTAGCCATTACATGTCTTGATCAGTAAATATTGCTATTGGATATTTATCATCCATTATTTGTATAAATATTCTAAACTACCAAGTAAATGATTCAAGTATTTCCTCTAACAAAAAAGCCACCCTAAGCAAAATATTCTACCAATGACTTTTAACTCTGACAAATGATTCATAAATCAAATTATATTTATTAAGCCTATAATTAGTATAAAAAATTATCACATCTCTAAAACAATCATAATCTATCATACTCATCCCACCAACCTAAAAGGAATTCAATAACCTATCAAATTCATCAATTTGGACATCCCATGTGAACAAAGGGTCATCAACTTGTCGATCTTTAAATAGTTGAATTAAAGAATTAATATCTCCATATTCAATCCTTGCTCTTTTATATTTTTTAATGTAGTTGTCTGCATCTCTTTTTGAGAATCTGACATTCTCCATACCTTTAACTTCATCAAGATAGGAAAATGCATTAACTATTATATTTCTAACCTATGTCAATGTTTTATGAACTGATACTATCTCATCACTCATGTTCCAACATGATCTTAGCAGATGTTGGTCTTTTGGCCTAGCCAAATCATGATTATGGCTTTCTATAATTTTTTTCATCTTCTAATTTCCATCTCCATCCATTATGTATCTGATTTTTGAAATTTCATTTAGGATTTCAAATTAGGACCCTTCTTGAAACTATATTTTGAGCAGACAAAATTCTTGCATCTTATCTTCATAGAATTAGGATAGTAACTATGATATCCTTGTCAATACTAAAATCAATATTATGTGCATACCTACAATAAGCCTTATATGCCTCATTCTCAACATTATATACGCCTATGTATAATGCAAAAAATATTAAGAGGAAATCAACACAACTTATTTATACAGGTTGAAAATAATAAATAATAAAGAATGACCCTGTACCCACAATGTGTATAAGGTGAAAAGCCCTTGTACGCACACTATGTACAACCTTGTACACAACGTGTGTATAACTTGTACATGGTATCTATATAATCATCCAATCAGTGTGTACAAACTTCTTTACAAGATGATCCACAAAAGGCAAGGAAATCCCCTTGTACAAACCCTGTGTACATGGTGTAAACAATTTTTGTACCCCTTCTAGGAATATCACTGTTTGTAGAGTATTTATTTTTGAACTCATTACATGTATAAGGAGCATACTATATTTCAAAAAAATTAAAAAAAAAACACCTATACACAAACTTCAAAGGAGTTTTAAATTTACCTATAAGTTAAAATCTACAGGTCATCCAACCACATTCACTTCCATTTCAACCAACCTTGCACTCTGCTATATCCCGTAAACTCTCCATGGTTGGCTTCAGTCTTCTTATCTTTAAGTTCTCTGCCTCCACATTATCCCTTGAGTATGTCCTCTCATCAGAGAATTGAACATCCTCCAAATCAGTCACTAACGTCATCGTCTATTGCTCATTCATTGCATGATCATCATTTTTCTTTCTTAGCAAGCATGAAATGTTTTATTCCATTAAAACCCTAAAATTTGGGGA